AGAATTAAGAAAGTTGAGTAACATACATCTGATCTTCTACATTTTATTTACATAGGAGGAAGAGAATATATTGAAGGAGATGAAGAAATTGCCGGATGAAAAAAAAAATATCTTCCACAAGAATTGAAAGATATGTTGATGCTCTCCACGTTCAATGAAATATCCCTCATGTTTTCTTTAGTTGTTTCTATCGCTTTTGTTGCTTTCTATAACATATACGAATCTTAAAATTTGTATAATATCTTTTCTCTAATTGTTTCATTTTCCTCCTTTTTTTCATTTCAATCTGACGGTTATAAGATAAAAATGATACAAACAAAGTTATAAAGGGACAAAATTCAAAAAATTATTTAAAAAAGGACTAAAATTAAAAAACCTCTATTTTATGTGGACTAAAAAGTATTTTAAGTCTTCATTTTTTTTATTACTTTTTAAATTTTTTCTTGCTGATTATCTACTAAAATGTCCCTTTTCTTTGGTACACTATGATACTAGATTCGGAAAGCTGGAAGAATGCAACTTTATTATTCGGTTGTTAACAATATGCATGCACACGAAATGAATAAAATTTTCAAACCTCTATTTTTGTAATTATTTACATGGAATCACTTTGAAAACTACTCTGTCACCATATATGCTAGTGCCTCTAAGACTACGTTAAGCTTGACAAATAATTTGTCCGGAGTACCTACACCCGTATTCAAAACATTCTCCCATTCGTACATTTAGACAAAAACATTAATTTACGATTCAAAGTTAACTTTCCTATAAATGTCACAAATAATCTTGGTACAACCACAACACATCTTTCTCACACTTCATTAACCAACCTGAAGCAGTTCTTCCCATAATTGTCACACTACACTACCAGCCACCATGGTATCCAAAAATCATTTGTATCATATTTCATTGGCCATGCTTTTGTGCATGACATTCTGGGCTCTTCAAGTCTCATCTCGCTCTCTCCAAGATGCCTCCATGTATGAGAGACATGAGCAATGGATGCTTCGTTATGACAAAGTGTATAAGGACCCTCAGGAAAGGGAAAAGCGTTTCAAGATATTCCAGGACAATGTGAATTACATTGAAGCCTTCAACAATGCTAACAATAAACCTTACAAGCTAGGTATTAATCAGTTTTCAGACCTCACCAATGAGGAGTTCATAGCACCAAGAAATAAATTCAAGGGCCACATGTGTTCCTCAATCACAAGGACTACAACTTTTAAGTATGAAAATGTGACTGCAGTACCATCCTCTATAGATTGGAGACAAAAAGGAGCAGTGACACCCATCAAGGACCAAGGCCAATGTGGTTAGTGCTTGATGACTTTTAAAAAGTCAAATTAAATTGAATAACTATTATCTAACTATTAATTTGTCTTGCAGGATGTTGCTGGGCATTTTCTGCTGTTGCAGCAACGGAAGGAATTCATAAACTGAGTACTGGAAAATTGATCTCTTTGTCAGAACAAGAACTTGTTGATTGTGACACAAAGGGTGTGGACCAAGGTTGTGAAGGTGGTCTTATGGATGATGCATTCAAATTCATCATCCAAAACAATGGACTCAACACAGAAGCTAGCTACCCCTATAAGGGTGTTGATGGAAAGTGCAATGCAAATGAAGCAGGCAACCACGCTGCTACCATTACTGGGTATGAGGATATTCCTGCCAACAATGAGAAGGCACTGCAAAAAGCTGTGGCTAATCAACCAGTTTCCGTAGCCATTGATGCCAGTGGCTCTGACTTTCAGCATTACAAAAGTGGTGTCTTCACAGGTTCATGTGGAACTGAGTTGGATCACGGTGTCACTGCTGTGGGATATGGTGTTAGCAATGATGGAACTGAGTATTGGTTAGTTAAGAATTCATGGGGAACCGAGTAGGGTGAAGAAGGATACATTAGGATGCAAAGAGGCGTGAGTGCTGCTGAAGGACTCTGTGGCATTGCAATGCAAGCTTCGTACCCAACAGCATAATTATAAAATTTAGACATCATAATACTATTTACAATTCGACACATCCTTTGAACTTTTAAGCATTGATTCCTTCAATTAGTCTTGTATATCACTGTATCCCCTGCATGAACCGTTGTTCTTATCATTCAATTATTATGGAATGAAAAACGAGTAATGGTTAGGAGTTGACTTACAGATAAAGGTATCAGAACCATAATATAAATGAGAGAAGAGATCGTGGGAGAGAGAATTATTAGACCACCCATAGTCGTTTAGCATGTGTTGGGACTTGAAAGTGGATGTTTTAGAATTTCAAATGCTTTAGGATGTGAATGATTTCGGTTGGTCCTAAATTGTTGTAATCATGCATATATAAGAAGGAGGGCCATGAAATAGGAGTAATGGGACAAACTAAGAGACAAGGGCATATGGTGTTGTCTTAGAGGACTTTCTAAAGAATCAATATAACGTGTTATAGTATTTTAGACAAAACTGTCCCAGCTTCTGGTGTGAAGGCTAACATTTTTCCCCACTTGAAAGGAAATATATATCTCTTATATATATATATATATATATATATATATTATTTGGTACATGGTAGATATATACATCAATATTATTTCTAAAGCATGTCCACCATTGGATTAGCTGTATCACTAGGCATGAACAAACATGAGGTTCTCAGGTGGATAATTTGTTGGGCAATATCTCAGAAGGTGTGGTGTGTATTAGCTGATAAATAAAGAGTAGTTTATTAGTGTGCACTCCCATTTAACTTCCTAATCCTTGACAATGACCTCTGAGACAATACCGTGTGATCCTTTGTCCCTAAATAGACCCCATCATGGTTCATTGTGAAATTGGATATAGGAGGACCTTGGCAACTATATAAACACAATTTCTTGGGTTCTCAAGTAACAGAAGTGATCCCATTCCACAAGTATCAGAATTCAAATATTTCTTTTATATACAAGTATTGTGATCAGTATACTATTTGTTGGGTGGAGTAACAGAGAAAAATGGGCATCCGCATGCCAGCTATTATTAGTCGAACATCGTTTTCTACAACCTATGCAGCCTCTTAGATGAGGCGATTCATGATTCCAGTATAATGCTTGAATCAACTTTCATTTCAAGAATTGCTAAGTCAAGCAGAAGAAGAATTTGGATATGATCATCCAACAGATGGGCTCACAATACCATGCAATGAGGAAGAGTTCCTAAATGTCACCTCTCATTTGAATGAGCTGTAAATCATTCTAGAAGAGACTGAGATAGATTAGATGAAACAAATTGTACAGAAGGCATCTTGTTTTGTTTTTGGGGAATTTCTATTTTCTACACATGTTTAAACCAGAATGAGAATCGAACACAAGAAATTTTTAAGCACTTTTTCTTTTACCAAATCTCAATACGTTTTAATATATACAACAGTATAATTATCAAATTTAAGTTGATAAGTATCTGCATCAGGCTTTCAGCTTATATCATGTATTAAGTGGAGTAATTCTGTTAACATATTGACCAACCTTGATAAGGGTTAGTCCTGCCCTATTGTATTTCAATATAAATCCCTGATCCAAACAAGGAACTCACAATACATTTGTCCTGATATAGTTTTAGCCACTTGTTGCAAGATTTTTCTGTAATATCATTCAGTGTTTTTAATGGTAACTACATATCTTCAGGGAATTTAGTTCTCTCTCCTGTTCTATCTTTGCTGCAAAATCATTCTCACTTTCCAAGGGTCATTGATTTCTTCATTTCCTGGACAATAGCACCATCACATGGATTATTAGTTATTTATTGGGAAAAAAGGCATGGTTTTTGTTTTACTAATATGGTATTGCCCCAAAATTTACAAACGCAACATAAGAAATCGTAAAATTCGGTGGACAGAATTTGGATATCTGACTTGCAAGTTCAGCTGTATAAATATTATTTGACGATACTTTATGACATAGATATTAGTCAGTCATAATTGTTATACAGCTAGACATATGCTTTAAGGAAACTTTTTCTTTATTCGATTTGAAAACTTTAAATCTTTGCTTCTTGCATTGTTAGGTCATAGTTTCATTTTATTTAAAAGACAGAAGTCATAGAAAAGGATTGGTTCTTTGACCTCAGCAGATATAGAGTTGTAAACTTTTGTTACAAGAGTAGTCCAGGTTTATTCAAGGAAAAATATTTTGAACCTGCGTCTGTTGATGTTTAGTTCAATTTTATTTTGCGCATGCGTCTGTTGTTCTGTGCCTTGCACCTCAAAATTTTAATTTGATATATTTATTAATAAAATATATTTTGTTTGTCCCAAATAAAATTATTTCTATTTGGTCCTGGGGAATATACTTTTGCTCTACCATGTTTAGAAATCGCGTGTTCTGTTCCTACTTTCAAATTTATCAGAACAAAGAATTTTGTAAAGAATGTAACCATTTCATACAAAGAGAAGTGAACACTGAAACTAAAACAGAAAATACAAAAGAGTTGCGTGAGTAGTTGAATTCATTGTAATTACAATAACAAAAAAATATATGGTATAATGTGTTTATGTTATTTTTCCTTTGCTCTCAAGAAAGGGAGATCTATACAAGTTGAGATGAAACCAACCTATTGTAAAAAATGTTTCCACTAATCTATGTCAGTCTCCCAAAGTGTGAGATTTATTATCTGTTGGGCCCGATAGTCCACCTGTTGGTCCACCATAGTATGATATTGTCCGCTTTGGGCTAGGCCCGCACGGTTTTGTTTTTGGGCTCCTTCCCAAAAGGCCTCATACTATATGGAATGGTCGTTAACTCTACGAGACACGCCGCCTGAACAATCAGGAAGACTTTCGACACAAGGCACCAAGTTCGGATCTCCATCGCGAGGCACAACACTGAGGGTCTTCCCGCATCAAACCCAGCCGAACCGTTGGCTCTGATACCACTTGTTGGGTCCGATAGTCCACCTGTTGGTCCACCATAGTATGATATTGTCCGCTTTGGGCTAGGCCCGCACGGTTTTGTTTTTGGGCTCCTTCCCAAAAGGCCTCATACTATATGGAATGGTGGACACCCTTATAAACTAGCCAATGTTCCTTCATTTTACAGATGTGGGACTTGGGATGAATCCCAACATTATCAATCCAAGCAAGAAGTTATACGTAGGAAGACATCTTCACTGCAAGGAATTGTGAGGCCACCCATGGGATGATCGAATCCAAACTCTTCCTCAGCTTGACTCAACAAGTCCTGGAATGAAGGTTGGTTCAAGTATGTTACAGGGATCACATACCGCTTCATTTTCTCCCCAACATAGACTGCAAGATAGCCCTTTGACGCATCCACTACTTTTGAAGATGCTGGATTTGCTGCAAATAATGCCTTTCTGATTCCTGGTAAACGAAAACCCATTGTTGTATTGATTTGAGAATGGAACAGTTAAAGAAGAGAATTGAGATTTGAAAATATGGTTTAGAATTTTGAATTCTTTAGGATGTGAATGATTTGTGTTGGTCCTAAATGCTAACATCAATGAATATATATAGATAAAAGGATATGTGATAAACCATTATTTGCTTACTTGAATTATTGGTGAAGGAGGGATATGTGATAGGAGTCATGGAACCAAATGAGAGACAAGGCATGTGATGTTGTCCTAGAGGAATTTCTTAAGAATCAACTCAACATTTTATAGTAGATAGTACAAGTCCAACCTTCTGAACTCTATGAAAAAGAAAGTCTAATTGGATCTTGTTGACACTTGCTCAAAGTGGTCGGAGCGGGAAACTTCATTTATGCAAATTTCATGTTGTGTTGGTTAGAATTTGACGTACACGAAAATGTGTTTCATAATGTAGTGAAGGCCCATGAAATGAGTCATGAGACTAACTGGGAGACACTGGCATGTGGAGCTGTCCTTTAAGACTTTATAGTTCTAATTTTAATTTCAACATTGAATGCATGATCGTATCATGAGGCATTACGAACCACATTTTTATTTACATCAAATTCTTAACAACACAGCATGACATTTACATAAAAGATGTTTCCCACCTAACTACCCTAAATAAGATAAGGGTCACCGATATCCCATCAGACTTTCTTCATCATAGATGCATAAGGTGGGAGTGGTATTGTTATCTACAGTAATATTATGTTACGTTGATTCTTAAGAAAGCCCTCTAAGACAGCACCATATGCCTTGTCTCTCATTTGGTCCCTCGACTCCTATCTCATATCCCTCCACCAATTATTAAAGTAACCAATTAATGGTTTTTACATATCCATTTATCTATATATATTCATGGCCGTAAGCATTTAGGACCAACACAAACCATTCACACCATATAGCATTCGAAATTCCAAAACCTTATTTTCAAGACTTTTCTTGAAGCATTCCTTTCTCAAGTTTCCAACACAATCAATACAACAATGGGTTTTCGTTTACCTATCATAAGAAAGACATTATTTGCAGCAACACAAGCATCTTCAAAAGCATTGGATGTGCCAAAGGGCTATCTTGCAGTATATGTGGGAGAGAAAATGAAGCGGTTTGTGATCCCTGTATCATACTTGAACCAACCTTCATTCCAAGACTTGTTGAGTCAGGCTGAGGAAGAGTTTGGATATGATCATCCCATGGGTGGCCTCACAATTCCTTGCAGTGAAGATGTCTTCCAACACATAACTTCTTGCTTGAATTGACAAAAAATCTTACACTTTAGGCGACTGACATAGATTAGTGGAGGCATTTTGTACAATAGGCGTCTGCTCAACTTGTAAAGATCTCCTTTTCTTGAAAATGAGAGAATAGAAACAGAATGACAAAATCACTGTGTATCATATTCTGTTTTTGTGTTGACGAAAAATACAACTACTGAAGCAACTCCTCCGTGTTTTCTGTTTGTTAGTTACAATGTTCACTTCTCCAGTTCTCCCTGTATGAGCAAGGTTGTTTTACTAATAAATTATATATATGAAATTAAAATTTTGAGGTGCCAAGGCCTCAAAGACACGAGGTAATTACCTCCCAGCCAAGGCAGGTGGAAAATAACAATTTTATCCTTTCCCTTGAACTCTTGCCTATTCCTGAAGCAAAACTTCTCTGTTATACCATGTATGGTATGGATTATTAACTATATAACCCTACATCTTTAGAAGTCAAAGAACCAATATTTTCCTATGAATTCTGTATTTTAGATAAAAGGAAGCTAGGACCATATAAACCAAGTAAAGAAAAAGCCGTCTGAAAGCAAATTAATAAGTGTAGTTTGGTACAATTTGACTGACAAATATTCATACCATCCCAAAGTATTAATACAGCTAAACTTGTAAGTCAGATCCAAATTCTGTATTTAAATTAAAAGAACAGAAATAAATTGGAGAGGGAGAAAAATTAGCCAGGGATATTTTAAATATTTTCTTCCAACTCTGTTGTGAATTTTGGGGCAATACCATATTAGCGACAATCCATGCTTTTCTGCACAAGGAACAACTACCACACGATGTGAAGTTGCTGCTTGTTTAGAAAAATTCAAGAATCGACAACCCTTGGTAAATGATAATGAGTTTGCAGTGAATATAGAACGGGAGGAGAACTAAATTAACTGAAGAAATATAATTTCTACGAGATGAGATCATGAATTGAACGAGCTGCATGTTATAGAAAAATCTATTAAAAAGTGGCTAAAGGAGGTATATTGAAATAAAGTAGGGCAGCAATAACATCCATTATCAAGGTTGGTCAATATCTCCAACAGAATTCCTGTATTTTATCCCTGAATATGTTGTTAGCAAAATATATATGTCGATTAAAATTTGATAATGATACTGTTGTATCTATTTAAATTTACTGAGATTTTCCAAAAACAAAAAGTGTTCAAATAATGTCTGGTGTTGCAATCTCATTCAGGCAAGAAGTTCCTATTATACAAGGAAAACAAAGTACAAAAATCATCATAGTTAAAGAAAATTCCTTCTGTACAAATTTGCCTCATCTAATCTATCTATGTCTCCATTAGCTTGATTTAAAGGTCATTCAAGTAAGAGGTCACATTTAAGAACTCCAGCTCTTTGCATGGTATTGTAAGACCACCCATTGGGTGGTCATACCCGAATTCTTCCTTAGCTTCATTCAACAAATCTTGAAAGGATGGTTGGTTCAAGTATGATATGGGGATAACAAACCTCTTCATTTTCTCTCCAACATAGACCGCAAGGTATCCTTTTGGCACATCGACAGCTTTTGAAGATGCCTGGTTTGCAGCAAATGACGCCTTTCTGATACCAGGTAAACGAAAACCCATTGTTTTATGTGTTGAGATTTGGGAAGACAATAGTTTTTGAACTTCTAATGCTATAGAATGTGAATGATTTTTGTTGTCCTCAATGCTTGCAGCCTTGAAAATTTATATATGAGTGAAGTTGTATGAAATTATTGACTAGATGAATGATTGAAGAGTGAGGGCTATGACAAAAGAGTCATGGGACCAACAAGGAGACAAGGCCATATGGTGTTGCCTTGGAGTACTTTCTCGAGTAAATCCTCTTGAATAAAATAGGTGTGTGTAATCTTAAACATCAGAAATAAAATGATCTATGATCTCTCTCTATCCGCTGCCTTATAATTCATCTGCCAGAAATTACATTCCAGCTGTACTTCAAGATAATGCAAATAAAACATGTCCAAAGCATGTTTACAAAATTATATATGGAATACCAATTAATGCGTGAAGAAAACTTAGATTTCACTTAGCTACGTCTCATTTGGTCACTAGTGGAGGCTTTATGATGGCCATTGCCTGATAAGGTGGTGTTACACACGTCTACACAACTTTATCCTTGATAGAGGCACCAAAGACAACACCATGTGATATCTCATGTGCATGCCCTCCATCCTTTAACAGTCGTTTTTACTAGGAATTGGGTTTAAACATCTTAGAAGCTATATATACTGTATCCTTTGTCTTCACAAACAACACATGCCCTTGCAATACTCAAGCAACAACACTTAGTCATTCTTCAAAAATTTGAGATTGTTCTTCTTCCTTCATGTTGGGTACCAGAAGGAAAATAAAAACTGCAACAGCGGAAACTGCTGTGGGATATGGTGTTAGCAATGATGGGACTGAGTATTGGTTGATTAAGAATTCATGGGGAACTGAGTGGGGTGAAGAAGGCTATATTAGGATGCAAAGGGACGTGACTGCAGCTGAAGGACTTTGTGGTATAGCTATGCAGGCATCTTACCCGACCGCATAATTATCAAATTTTTGGACACTATTGTGGTATTTACAATTCTACTTATATTTTTTAAGTTTTAAGCTTCGGTTCCTGCTATTGAGTGTGTATATCACTGTATCCCCTGCATTTGTACTTATCAATCAAATACTATGAAGTGAAAATGATTAATTTAATGTTTATGAATTATTTCATTTGGATAAAGTATCAGAACCATACAATAAATGAGAGAAAAGAAGTATTAAGGCAGAGATCATAAGAGTCAATATTAAGACAGATTTGAGTTCCTGAGGAAAACACTTGGAAGTTGGAACATGCAGCTTCAATGTCAAGGAGGAGTGTTAATTGAAATGACCCATAAGCTGCCAAATATCAGTTTTTATTTTCCTTTTTTTAGGCAAAAGAGAGTCATAATTGTGAGAATCAGAATATTTGATTGTCCTTATTTCTCTCATACGTTATGCTTATCAATAACAGATTTTACGTTATTGTAGTTTTTTTATTGCTGTATAAATTCATGTTATGTCATTGAATAGAAATCCGCCTTCTACAATTCAGTTCCTTTCTTCCATTTCTATTACCGCCCTGTATATTTCTTTTCAAAATAACCAACAAGATGCCTTGATTTTAATAACCTGAGAAAGGTTTCAGAATCCCAGAAAACTGTGACATACTGCTTTAGGACCTTTAACTTCAATATTTACATGTGCGAATAGAACATACAAATCTTTCAATTCCCTCCCAAATAAATTCATGTTTTTATTTGACCCGAGCGAAAAACTAATAGCTCTTCCCGAGTTCCCGGTCTGTGAAACATGTTGGCGACTATATGCTGTGAAATTCATGAGAACAATCAAGTCATTTTATTTTTTATTTTTTTTAAAGCAAGCAACCTGCTAGTATTGTCTACGGTTCTAATTGCAGAGAGAAGTAAATATCGTAACTGATCAACAGAAAAACTTATCAATTGAATTCGTTGTCATAACTCAAAAATTGGTAATCTTTACAAGTTGAGATTATCCCTATTGTATAAAATTTCTACTAATCTATGTCAGTCACCAATAGTGTCAGATTTATTGTCCAATCAACAGAGAAGTTATATGATGGAAGACATCTTCACTGCAAGGAATTGTGAGGCCACCCATGGGATGATCATATCCAAACTCTTCCTCAGCTTGGCTCAACAAGCCTTGAAATGAAGGTTGGTTCAAGTATGATATGGGAATCGCGAACCGCTTCTGTTTTTCTCCAACATACACTGCAAGATAGCCCTTTGGAACTTTTACAGATTTTGAAGCTGCTTGGCCAGCTGTGAATGATGCCTGTCGAATAGCAGGTACACGGAAACCCATTTTTTGTGTTTGTCTGAAGGAAGAACGATATCAAATTTTTTAAGAAAGAATCTCCCCGATTTTAAAAGTGATTTTTGTACTAGTGAGTGCAATAGTTGAAGAGAATTGATCTTTTGCTGTTTGTTTAGGGTTGGAACGTATGTAGTGTATATATAGTGCAAAAAAATTGAATTAGTTTGTCTCATTGCATAAGGAATCCAAAGACCTTGTGTAGAGTGTCATTGCCTTGGTCCTTGAGCATCAGAAATTTAATGTTTTGTGCAATGTCATCAATTGCTTTATCTCAGAGCGTCAAGAATCCAATGACTTTGTGTAGTGTCATCAATTGCTTGGTCCTAGAGCGTCAGAAAAATCAATACTTTGTGCAGAATGTCATTGCCTTGGTCCTAAAGCGTTAGAAAAATTAATGACTTTGTGTAGAGTGTCATTGCCTTGGTCCTAGAGCGTCAAAAGTCAATCAAACACCAAAAAATGGGTTTTCGTTTACCTGCTATTCGACGGGCATCCTTCACAGCTAGCCAAGCAGCTTCAAGATCTGTAGAGGTTCCTAAGAGCTTTCTTGCAGTGTATGTTGGAGAGAAACAAAAGCGGTTTGTGATTCCAATATCATACTTAAACCAACCTTCTTTCCAAGACCTGTTGAGTCAAGCTGAGGAAGAGTTTGGATATGATCATCCAATGGGTGGACTCACAATTCCTTGTAGTGAAGATGTTTTCCAACATATAACTTCTCGGTTGAATGGACAATAGATTCCACACTGTGGGAGACTGACATAAACTAGTAGATACATTTTTATACAATAGGAATCTTCTCAACTTTGTAAATATTATATATCAATTTTGAGTAATGACAATGAATTCAATTGCTAGTATTTCTTTTATCATATATACAATGTTCAATTCTCTCTGCAATTAGAGCCGTGGTGAGTGGTGACTATTAGGAGGTTGTTTGCTGAAAATCAGAAAAAAAGACTTGATTGTCATCATGAATTCCACATGCATGCTTAAAAAATCTGGAAAAACTAATAGCATTTTGTTAGGGCCAAAGAGACTCTTGAATTTATTGGAGACTTTTCAGTTGTATATTAAGTTAATAACTCAAAAAAATAAAATTATTTTTTCCAGTCGTACACTTTCCTTTTTTTTTTTTTTTTTTTTTGAAATATACCAAACGTTGACAGTGCTATGAGAGACATACATCTATGGCGCTTCTCAATCTGTGAGCTGTACAAAATTGACGTCCCATTTGAATTCAGCTCTTTGTGTGTCTTCTCGTGACCATGGTGCCAAATCATTCTTACCAACTGGCTATTTGACATAAAACTCAGGAGGATTTTCATTACTAGAATTTCTTTTATTACATGCGACTTTCTTTTATTAAAAAATGATAAAATTTCAAAAGAAATAAATGGTTGGAGAATAATCAATTATAATTAATAATTACACTATTATAATTTCTCTTATTACATGCGACTAGAATTTCTCTTATTCGCAGGAAATATTGTTCCTACAAATTTTTCTGCGAAATTTTATTTGCAGGTAATACGATAATATATTTTTGAAAACAAAAAAACCCAGGAAGGTTTCCTAAAAAAAAATCCACAAGAAAGTTTCCTGCGAATTTTTTCGCAAAAAATTCTGCAGGAATATTTTTTACGAAAAAAGTTAAAAAAATTACTATAAATTGTATCAATAATTCTTCAACTTTCAAATGTTTTAAGATTGTAGATTATATGTCTAACACTCAACCATACAAATCAACCTGTAAGGTAAGTGTTGTCCCAATTTATATATTCTTTAATTATTTTATTTTCAATCGATGTAAGACTTGAAGTTTTTTTAAAATATTAAACTTATAAATTTAAATATTTTTTTGATTTTTCCTGCGGATTAAAATTGACAGGAAAATCTGTAGGAAAAGTTACTTGCAAAATTTTTCTACTATTTAGTAAACATTACTTGCGAATTTATTTTTGCAAGAAAATCTGCAAGAAACAAAATAAAATTCTTACAATATTTTCTATAAATTTTTACCATGGAAAAGAATTTCTATGATCAATAAAATTGTAGCAAAATTTGCAAAAATTTCTTATAAGTTATTTTTCATAAAAAAAATTTGTAAGAAATATCTGTAAATTATTTTTCGCAAATAAATTTATAAAAAAAATTTGCAAAATTATTATTACAAGAAAATTTGTAAAAATTTTCTGCAAATATTTTTTTTAGAAAAATTCGGAAAAAAATAACACTTTTCTAACTTATTTCAATAACCAATTAGATGCGTAATAATTTATTTCTGTTTATTCAATCTAAATTAATAATACAGATATTTGACCTTTTAGTCCATCTATATTCTGTACAAATATCTTTTCGCCTTAATTTATAATATATCTATTAATCAGTCATAAATGTTATACAGCGTCACCTATTGTTTTGCTTTAAGGACACTTTTATTTATTTGATTGAAAGCTTTAATTCTACGCTTCTTGCATTGTAAGATCATAATTTCATTTTATTTGAAAGACATATTATGGAAAATGATCGGTTTTTTGACTTCATCTGATGTAGGGATACATATAATTGTTTTGTATCAATGTTTTAAGGTTATATTTTAAACTAATCAAATTTGATTGAGAAATATGTAATTTTGAGTTTAATATATTAATTACTTGTATCTAACCCTTTAATTTAATTAAAAGCTTTTGTTAGAGAAGTTGTAAAGAGTTATTCAAGGAAAATAATAAAACTCGATATTATGTTCAATATATATATTTTTTTGGGGTACAGAAGTTCAATACTATTTTGCTCGTGCTTCGGCAGCAAAGCACCTCGTGAATAGTTTCCTGCCTTGGCTCATCAAATTTTTAACTTTATAAGTATATTTCTTAATAAAATATATTTGATTTGTTCCAAAGAAATTTATCTTTCTTTTTGGCCCTAGGAAAGATAATTTTTCTCTCCACTATTGGTGAAAGAGGGATATGTGATAGGAGTTAAGTATGCAAACAAATTATGCAAGTTTCATACTGTGTTGGTGAGAATTTGCGTACATTAAGGTGTGGTTCGTAATGCCTAATGATATGATCAAGTATTCAATGTTGGTTCTCTTCTTATCTCGACTGTTTCAGAGGTATAAAGTCCTAAAGAAGAGGGCTATATGCGCTTGTCTCCAAGTTAGTCCCATGACTCATCCTCACATGGTTTTATGATGGACTTGGTTAGGTTTATATGCAGAGGGGTAGGGGTTATAGTCCATGTGATATCTCATGTTTATGCCTTCCATCCTTTATCAGCCATTTTCTCTGGGGATTGGGTTTATAAAGTTTAATTTGCATAGTGGGAGACTGTCATGGATAAGTACTTAGTAGAGTGGATTTGTATAACATGCCTCTTCTCAACTTGTAAAGATTTTCCATTTTTTGAGTAATGAAAACGAATTCAATTGCTTAGTATTGCTGTTTATGAATTATTACAATGTTCACTTCTCTGTACACTATTAGAAGGTTGCATGATGGGGAGAAAAAAAATACCAGCTGTTTATCATGAATTTCACAGCATTTAATCGCCCATATACTTCACCTAAGTAAATAGATCAGTTTTGCAAATTTTTAAAAAATTTAAAAATTATTTAATATTTTTTTATTAATTTAAATAGATAGATAATCATAAACATGACTAGGTTTGTTGGCTTTTAAACAAGTCCTAAATTTAAGTTTGGAAATGGGTTTGGTGAGAGAGTAGATGACGATGGTATGGGAGGCTCTAAAGACAAACCACTTTGGCCACTAGTTTTGTCCTATATTCGGACAGTTGATGTTGATGGTGTCATTGGTTCAGAGGAAGGTGTTGGAGTTAAGGAATACAGGAGATGTTTGGGATACAAACTAAACTGCACATTATTAATAATAAGATGAAAAATAAGGGTTTATAAAGGCACACATACTTTATTAGTAAGAGACCTTTTGGATGTTAACCAAAAATAAAATTATGAAAATGTAAATTCAAAATAAATAATATCATATCAATATAAAGATGAATGTGAAATATATATTTGATATGTAAAACAACACAAAAATAATAATTCTTCTTGAAAAATAATATATATATATATATATATATATATATATATATACCTCAAAATAATCACTAAAGTCTTACAATAAGTGATATCAAAGGCATTAACATAAGTCAAAATAGATAATATCATATAAATATAGAGATGTGTATAAATACCCAATAAACAAAATATATAATATATCTTCAAAAAGTATATCTTCAAAACAAGTACTTGATAACCCATCAAGTACTTGATAACCCATCAAGAGGAAAATTGGTTGTAAAATCGATTTTGTACACATATTTTCTCGCTTGGGCTACAATGATCATGAGTGGCTAAAATCACCCATATGCCTAAATCCATACACTCTTTCTTTCTAATTGTTTATTAATATTTTTAATTTAGTTACGTATTTCTTCTTTCTTTTCATGCTTATTTTGACTTAATCAACTTATATATGATTTTATGGAATTAAATATTGTTGGAACACTTTTAAAACCTCAAGATAAAAGATAAACCTAATAAAGTTTAATAACATGAATAATGTAAGATTTATTAGCAACATTTCGACATATGATCTTAATGAAAATTGTGTAAGTAATCTTTTACAAGGAATTAGGATTTGAATGAAGTGATTTAAATTTTTTCACTTAAGAGATTAAAGTTTAAATATTTTTATTGGTCATTTTAGAACTCAATATTAAATTGTTTGTAAATACAAGAAAGATAAGTGAAATCAGACCGAAACATCTTAATTATATCAATTAACAACATATTTTCTTTCAATTAATGAATGATGAATTAGAAATTTTAAAATACAATTTTACTATTTTCTTTAAAATTATATCTTTTAACTTTCCTCAAACAATTTCTAATATTCTTTTCCTAGTTGGGCATCAAATTGAACTTGAGTGAGCATTTTGAAGTCTATTGTGATTAATATTTGAAATCTATCTATTTTACTATATACCGTTTTTGTTATGCATAACAAATCACTAAGAAGTTAATGACGTTGTCGCGGGACTTGCATCTCAATATTTAGACAATTATAACTTTGTTGCTAATTTGGGTTTAAAACTTTTGCATTTAAATTCTGTAATTTTTTTTCTTACTAGATCTCACTTTTTCTTTACTTTCTTGGCTTTTGCATGTAAGGTACTATTTAATATTGATGCTTAAAACTAAAAATTGTGCGTTTAATTTTCTTAATTTTTTTCTAGTGACTAATGTATGTATTATAGTTTTTTTTTATATTAGTACATTTATTATATTTAAATGTTTAAATTTTATGAATTTGACTCATAAATAAATTTAGTCTCTATAAAACAAGTTTTATTTTTCATTTTAATCCTTTTAATTGTAACTATTTTTAAGTCTTAATTTTTATTTTTTATTACTTTATTTTTCTTTTCTTTTTTTGCTGATTATCCACTAAAATGTCCCTTTTCTTTTTGTACACTAGGAAACTAGATTCGGATATCCGGAAGAATGCAACTTTATCACTCGGTTGTTAACAATATGCATTCACACGAAATTAATAAAATTTTCAAACCTCTATTTTTATAATTATTTACATGGAATCACTTTGAAAACTTCTGTGACCATATGCTAGTGCCTCCAAGACTACGTTAAGCTTGACAAATAATTTGTCTGGAGTACCTACACCTGTATACAACGCTACTATTCAAAACATTCTCTCATTAATTTACGATTCAAAGTTAACGTTCCTATAAATGCCACAAATAATCTTGGTACCACCACAACACATCTTTCTCACACTTCATTAACCTGAAGCAGTTCTTTCCATAAGTGTCACACTACACTAACAGCCACCATGGTGTCCAAAAATCATTTGAATCATATTTCATTGGCAATGCTTTTGTGCATGGCATTCTGGGCTCTTCAAGTATCATCTCGCACTCTCCAAGATGCCTCGATGTATGAGAGACATGAGCAATAGATGCTTCGTTATGGCAAAGTGTATAAGGACCCTCAAGAAAGGGAAAAACGTTTCAGGATATTCCAGGACAATGTGAATTACATTGAAGCCTTCAACAATGCTAACAATAAACCTTACAAGCTAGGTATTAATCAGTTTTCAGACCTCACCAATGAGGAGTTCATAGCACCAAGAAATAGATTCAAGGGGCACATGTGTTCCTCAATCACAAGGACTACAACTTTTAAGTATGAAAATGTGACTGCAGTACCATCCTCTATAGATTGGAGACAAAAAGGAGCAGTTACACCTATCAAGGACCAAGGCCAATGTGGTTAGTGCTTGATGAATCATTTAAAAATTCAAATTAAATTGAATGACTATTATCTAACTAGCAATTTGCCTTGCAGGATGTTGCTGGGCATTTTCTGCTGTTGCAGCAACGGAAGGAATTCATAAACTGAGTACTGGAAAGTTGATCTCTTTGTCAGAACAAGAACTTGTTGATTGTGACACAAAGGGTGTGGACCAAGGTTGTGAAGGTGGTCTTATGGATGATGCATTCAAATTCATCATCCAAAACCATGGACTCAACACAGAAGCCAGCTACCCCTATAAGGGTGTTGATGGAAAGTGCAATGCAAATGAAGCAGGCAACCACGCTGCTACCATTACTGGGTATGAGGATGTTCCTGCCAACAATGAGAAGGCACTGCAAAAAGCTGTGGCTAATCAACCAGTTTCCGTAGCCATTGATGCCAGTGGCTCCGACTTTCAGCATTACAAAAGTGGTGTCTTCACAGGTTCATGTGGAACTGAGTTGGATCACGGTGTCACTGCTGTGGGATATGGTGTTAGCAATGATGGGACTGAGTATTGGTTGGTTAAGAACTCATGGGGAACTGAGTGGGGTGAAGAAGGCTATATTAGGATGCAAAGGGGCGTCAGTGCTGCTGAAGGAGTCTGTGGCATTGCAATGCAAGCTTCTTACCCAACGGCATAATTATAAAATTTGGACATCATAATACTATTTACAATTCTACACATATTTTGAACTTTTAAGCATTGATTCCTGATCCTGCTATTAGTGGTCTATATCACTGTATTCCCTTGATGAACCATTGTACTTATCAATGAATTATTATGGAATGGAAAACGAGCAATGGTTACGAGTTGACTTATAAAGGTATCAGAACCGTAACATAAATGAGAGAAAATAGTTAGCCAGAGATCGTGAGAGAGAGAATTGATTGCCTATGAATGAATTGTTACTCACTAAAATGATAGAGAGGGTTATATCAGTATATGTATATAGAGTACTGAAAGGAATGTTGTTTAGCTACCTAATGACATGCTCTACAAATTTGTCATTATAAACGTTCCCCCCCCCCCCCCCCCCCTATTTTTGGATTAAGGGAGACTTTTACACATTGAGAAGATGCCTATGGTACAAATTGGCTATACTAATCTATGTTGGTCTCCTACTGTTTAAGATTTATAGCCCGCTCAATTATAGATTATATCATGGAAGACATCATCACTGCAAGGAATGATAAGACTACCCAAGGGATGATCAAATCCAAACCCCTAGCTTGACTCAACAAATTTTGGTTAAAAGGTAGGTTCAAGTATGATATGGGAATTACTAACCGCTTCATTTTCTCCCCGACAAAGACTGCAAGATGGCCCTTTCAAATGCTTTAGGATGTGAATGATTTCTGTGGGCCCTAAATTGTTGTAATCATGCATATATAAGAAGGAGAGCCATGAAGTATGAGTAATGGGACAAACTAAGAGACAAGGGCATATGTGAAGGTTAACAGTTTTCCCCACTTGAAAGGAATTATATATCTCATATATATATAATATGGTACATGGTAGCTATATACAATAATATTATTTCTAAAGCATATCCACCATTTGATTAGCTGTATCACTAGGCGTGAACAAACATGAGGTTTTCAGGTGGTTCTCAGAAGGTGTGGTGTGTATAAATAAACAGTAGTTCATTAGTGTGCACCCAGATTGAACTTCCTAATCCTTGACAATGACATCTGAGACAATACCATGTGATCCTTTGTCCCTCAATAGACCCCATCATGGCTCATTGTGAAATTGGATATCAGAGGACCCTGGCAACTATATAAACACAATTTCTTCGGTTCTCAAGCAACACAAGTCATTCCATTCCTCAAGCATCAGAATTCAAATATTTCTTTCTTATACAAGTCTCCTGATCAGTATATTATTTATTATGTGGAGTAACAAAGAAAAATGGGCTTCCGCATGCCAGCTATTATTAGTCGAACATCGATTTCTACAACCTATGCAGCCTCTAAGAGGTTGAAGGACCAAAAGGATATCTTGCAGTATATGTTGGAGATAAGATGAGGCGATTCATGATTCCAGTATCATACTTGAATCAACCTTCATTTCAAGAATTGCTAAGTCAAGCAGAAGAAGAATTTGGATATGATCATCAAACAAGTGGTCTCACAATACCATGCAAGGAGGAAGAGTTCCTAAATGTCACCTCTCATTTGAATGAGCTGTAAATCATGATAATGGAGAGTGGTTTTTAGATGAGCAAAATTGTATAGAAGGCATCTCTTTTTATTTTTTATTTTTTTGATGAGAATTCAACACTACACATTTTTAAGCACTTTTGCTTTTGCCAAATCTCAATATGTTTTAGTATATACAATAGTATCATTATCAAATTTGAGTTATATGTATCAGCATCAGGCTTTCAGCTTATATTAGGTATTAAGTGGAGTAATTCTGTTAACATATTGACCAAAATTGATAAGGGTTTTGTTAGTGCTGTGCTATTGTACTTCAATAGACGTCCCTGATCCAAACATGGAACCCACAATGCATTTTCCTAATATAGTTTGAGCCACTTGTTGCTAGATTTTTCTGTAATATGTAACTCGTTCAGTTTCTTTAATAGTAATTATATATCTTCAGGTAATTTAGTACTCCCTCCTGTTCTATCTTTGCTGCAAAATCATTGTCACTTTCCAAGGGTCATGGATTCCTTCATTTCCTAGAGAGTAGCACCATCACATGAATTATTAATTATTTATTGGGCAGAAAGGCATGGTTTTTTTACTAATATGGTATTGCCCCAAAATTCACAAGTGCTATATAAAAAGAAATTGCAAATTTAGGTGGACAGAATTTGGACAAAATTCACATGATTAAAGATTTTTTTTTGGCAATAATTTATGATATAGATATTACAGTCATAATTGTTATACAGCTAGACCTATGCTATAAGGACACTTTTTCTTTATTTGATTTGAAAACTTTAAATCTATGCTTTTTGTAGGAACTCAAAAAATTAAAAGGCTGAAACTCATGTATTTTTATTCATACTTACAACCTTTAAATACACAAAAAAAAAAAAAAAAACAACAACAACAACTGAAAACTTATACAAATTCTACTTATAAACATAAAACTAAATGACAAATGTAAATACTCATAAAAGTTTAACACCACCTATAATTTCTATAATTAAAATTCATAACAATAAGAATTCTAATAGTATTTCATTAATCTGAAATAAACTTTAATAATAGATGCTGATTCAAATTCTCAACACTTTTTGCATTGTAAGTTCATAGTTTCATTTTAATTAAAAGACAGAAGTTATTGAAAGGGATTGGATCTTTCATAGCAGAAGATATGGGGTTATACAAAAGAGAAAGCTTTCAATACAGAAGTACCCCAGGTTTATGCAAGGAGAAATTTAAACCTTGAATCCTTGATGTTTATTTCAATTTTATTTTGCACCAACGTCTGTTGTTTAGTTCCTTGCACATCAAAATGTCAAAAATTTTGTTTGATATATATTTATTAGTAAAATATATTTTGTTTGTCCCAGATAAATTTGACTTTCTCTTTGGTCCTAGGGAAAATACTTCTGCTCTACCCTTGTTAGGAACCATGTATTCAGTTCCTGCTTTCAAAGTTATCCAAACAAAGTCATTTTTTAACAGAATTCAACCTTTTCTCATACACAGAAATGAACATTGAAACTAATAAACAGAGAAGACAGAGGAGCGATGAGTACTTGAATTCTTTGTAATTACTAATTAAAATAAACAAAACAATATGGTATACTGGAATTATGTCATTCCGTTTCTCTTCCTTTGCTTTCAAGAAAAGGAGATCTATACAAATTGAGAAGAAGCCTATTGTCAGAAATATTTCCACTAATCTATGTCAGTCTCCTAAAAAAACTGTTAGATTTTCTGTCAATTCAAGCATGAAGTTATATGATGGAAGACATCTTCACTGCAAGGAATTGTGAGGCCACCCATGGGATGATCATATCCAAACTCTTCCTCAGCTTGGTTCAACAAGTCTTGGAATGAAGGTTGGTTCAAGTATGATACAGGGATCACAAACCGCTTCATTTTCTCTCCCACATAGACTGCAAGATACCCCTTTGGCACATCCGGCACTTTTGAAGATGCTGGATTTGCTGCAAATATTTCCTTTCTGATGCCAGGTAAACGAAAACCCATTGTTGTGATGATTTGAGAAAGAAATGGTTTAAGAAAAGTATTGAGAATAAGGATTAGATTTTTGAATGCTATTGAATGTGTATGACTTGTGTTGGGCCTAAATGCTAGAAGGCATGGATATATATAGATCGAAGGATATGTGATAAACCTTTATTTGGTTACTTGAATTATTGGTGGAGGGATATGTGATAGGAGTCACGGGACAAAAAGTAGAGACATGGCATGTGGTGTTGTCTTAAGGGACTTTTTTAGGAATCGACATAACAAGTTATAGCAGATAATACAAGTCCCACCTTCTGGATCTATGAAAAAGAAATTCTGGGTGGTGGGGATTGAATCTTCATTATGAAAATTTCATGTTATGTTGATTAGACTTTGACGTACAGAAAAAATGTTGTTCATAATGGCACATGATATGATCATGCATTCAATGCTGTTTCTCTTCTTATCTACACTGATTCAGAGCTATAAAGTGAAATAGAACAGGACCATATGTGGTTGTTTCCCGGATGGTCTCATGACTCCTACAATAGTCCTGCACCATTTGTTCAAGTAGCCAAATGGTTTCTCACATATGCTTTTATCTATATATATATATATATATATTCAGGAATGCAAGCACTTGGGACCAACACAAATCACGGAATCCTGAAGCATTAAAAGTTAAAGTTGCATCGTATTTACTTGTCCTATTTAAGACAAACATTCTGTTCTCAAGTCTTAACACATACATGATACAACAAAAAAGCATCATTAGTAGCAAACTAAGAATCTTCAAAAGCTTTGGACGTGCCATAGGACTACTTGGCTGTCTATGTTGGAGAGAAAATGAAGCAGTTGTGATCCTGTGATTATATTTTGAGCAAACTTCTTTCCAAGACTTGCTTAGCCACATTGAAGAGGAATTTAGGGAAGCGTGTTCTTAGATTTCACTACTCGCTTTAATAGGCGCTAAGCTAACACTGCTAAAATAATACTGATGTAGATATATATTCCTTGACACATTTTGTTACTCACTTTCTTTCCTTGAAAATACTTTTTCTTTTTCGTTACTGTACTCAGGCTAGTGTAAAAATGTTCATGCGAATGTGAAGTTTATGACCTCTACTTTATTTATCTCATTTCCCCAAGTCAACGTGGGTTAATAAGTTGAATGATCACTTTAGAATCTTTATGATAAACTAGAAAAGAGTGCAGCTAACAGTACTCTGGAAAAAATAAACACCAGCCAAGCGTCATAGCAACCACAGCTTCCTATTCCATCATTAAAGGTCACTGATGGGTTTCATTCCAAACCTCAAATTGAGGTATCAACCAGCACTATGAATTTTATTTAAATTGATTAATATTGTAGTTTAGATTCATAATTATAATATATCATAATTTCAAAACATGATGGATAGACGAATGCAAATAAAATTCATAATTATTTGTTTTGTTTTTTTAAGTTTTTTTTTAATTACTATTGCATAGTTTATTATATTAATTGCTAAAATTCTATTACCATTATTATTATATTACATGCTATCTCTTATTTAAAAAACAAATAAAAAGTTACAAATAAACTTGACTCAAACTAAAACTAAAAAAAAACGTTGGGCCTATTGGCCCAATACGCAACCCAATGCCTCCTTCAGCTCAACCTTTGACTGCAAATGGGTAGAGCAGAATTCAACAGAAGTGATTTTAGAATCGGGAAAGAAAATAATTAGTCTTCAATATCGAAAGGAATCGTAGATCTCAGATTCCACGCAAAAACTCAATTTTTTAGTTTTAATGTTAATGTTGGAAACGACGTCGTTTTGGATTCTAACCGAGCCCTTTGGAAAAGTAAGGAACAAGGTTAAAAACACACACAACTTGAGCTATAAGATAGTTTCGGCCCAACAACAAAAACAAATTTAAAATAACTAACTAACATTTATTTAATCTAATAAATATACTTCATTATTAATATATATAATATATTTTCACTACCAAATATATTTTTTATATACAAAATTCTCTGTTCGACCTCAACTTAAAAAAAAAAAAAATTGGGTGAATGGTATAAGACCTGGCCTCTGAATTTTGTTAAATGATTTCACAATTATTCAATAATATCTTTAATAAAATTATTTAAAATCTTTTCAATTATTTATTACTGATAATATCGGGTGTGGACAATTCTCTAAACTTTATCACTTAAGAAATTGTGTTTTGAGAAAATATCAAGACATAATAACTAATAACTATGTAAGTATGAGTTTCTCATTGCATCAAAAAGATATTTCATCATGTAAAATTCTTTATCACCTAATGCAATTCTTGTGAATTGCACCAGTTGGATAAAAGAAAAATTATATATAAAAAAAATCATTGAATTTGATCAGATTTAAGTTCCTATACTCTAATCTAAACTGAATGTAACTAAATATGAAATTGATTAGTATATATTCTCAAAAATCTATATGATATTTTCAAGAATTTTCTCAAATCACTTATTGGTGTTGTAATTCATTAATCTATTATGTAATTGATTAAACTAAAAACATTTTTTTTATATAATTTCATTAATCTTAATGTAAAAGGTTAATTTACGAAGTAATTCTTGTAAAATAAAATATGATGTAATTAATTATCTTCTTAAAAAAATATTTTTTTCAACTTTAAAAAATTCTTTCATATCTTTAATCATTCATGAAACTTGATCATTTTTTCTTATTTAATTTTTTTACATCTTCTTTACATATGTCGGAAATTCTTTTTTTTTTTTTATGAATATTCCTTTTTACTATCGAAAATTTGTCAAAAATTCTCTTCTTCCTCATTTTATATATAATTGAGACCTTAGCAGCTCATGTGCGTTAATCAAGATATTCAAGATTCATCCATATTTTAGGTATGAAATAAATTATGTTAAGAGAGGGAATATTCACCTTGTATGTACTCATAATCTTCGACAAAGGTTGGTTATTATTTTTAACGATGAATACTTAATACCAATACCATGATTATCCAAAAATAAAAATTATTCAGTCAAAATCTTAACATAATTTATAAATATTTATATTTGCTTCTGTATTCTCATTTGATGGCATATTCTTTTATATAAATCATTCTCTTAAAAAAATATATATATATATTATACTGCATTTCACTGTTATTTTAAAATATGCAATCTAATTAATTTAACTCAACAGAAATTACATTTTCCTCTCTTGAAAGACATTTGTTACTCCTAATTGAAATGAATTTATAACCTTACCGTACTCTAAAATTTATGATCTATAGTCAAAAATGACATCAATTAGTTAATTCTTGTGGAAGGCAAAGATCGAGTAATTATATTGCTGGTTTCCAATTAATTGCTCAATTAAATTGAACTAAAGTTTTGAAGTCGAAATTCTAGAGGATAAATTCAGGAAGGTCTTCCTATAAAATATTCCGTGCCCTGTGAGGGTTACGATATCTCACAATTTGTAATCTAATACTAGTAACTGCCATTTGAAAGACTATTAGGAGAAGTGATTACAATTTTTCCGATAAATAATTATCAAAGTTGAAACAGAGAATTCTCAAGCTGAATGGACTAAAAGACATTGCCCAAAAACGATACAAAAACACATAATATCAATAGGTTTTACAGTTAACCTTTAATAATTCTAAATTGTGCCTAAGGCTGAAATGGGAAGAAATTCAGTAAATCCTCCTTTCCTTAGCCCGCTTCCGGGAATTACTTTTAATCTTCCACTTTTCATTCCCAGCTGGTCGATTTTGTTCTTCAATTTCTCGAACCTTCCGCTTCCTACAAAAGTTAGTTTTGAACAATAAGTAACCTAGAAAACATTGGAACATGCATGAACAACCAACTCTCTTAACTTAGATAGGTTTTTTAAATAATATCGTTTCATGCAATCTTACCTATAGGATGCAAGGTTTTGGTCAGAAAGCAGCTCATCTGCAAGCGTTGTTTTCCTCTCCTTCTTTGTTAATCTGCCTGAGAAAAAGTCCAATGGAGAATCTACAACTGTTCCAACCTGATCATATTTAAAATTTCAAATGATCTAATCAAATAGAAATCCATGTTTTAATGGAAGATGTATTAACAGTCAAACATATGCTTGTGATCTATACAGGCATGTAACCAAAAACTTGCCTGGAAATATTTGGGAAGTGTCTTTGATTTGGAATCACCTTTCTTGTAGTGTCGCTTTGGATCAAGGGCAGCCCTCAACTGTCACCGTCAAAATACATGCTTATTAAAATCTAAGGCACAAAACAAAACTAGACAGCTTAACACAAATTGAGAGATAAATTCAAATCTCAGAATGTGTATTTTTTTTCCAAATGCTTTTAATATGAGTCAACATTTGTCATTGCATCCTCAAATGTACATATTCATTGCATGAGTTTAACTTGATATTATATACACCAATTTACATCATTGCAGCTTATTTCATCGTACCAAGGAAGTGTCCAGAATATTTCTAAGGTAACACCATGAAATGACGTAATTACAGATCAGGGCTGACAATTATTTGTTCCTTGTTAAAAGGGGTAAAAGGCCAAAGGAAGCAGCAAACACTTTAAGTCATTGAAACATACACTATTAGCAAGAGGCAAGAAATCTAGACTCCCAGACTGAGAAGGGTTTTTGTAAAGCAAAAGTCCAACATAAAAAGGGCCTAAAATTTGCATTCCACAACAGCAATAAAAATCTAAACCCTACATGTTCCGCTATTACCATATCACTTGGAGAAAGAAAAATCTACTTTTTATGTTTTTTGTTTCAATTATGTCTGCTCATTTTGAATGCGATATGTATGTGTAAAGTTATTAGTTCAATCCAAGCTAATTTCACAAGACATTATATTTGACCATATTCAGAAAACACTGTAGAGAGAAAAGTAATAAAAAGGAAAAGATGTTAAAATTCAAAAGCACCTTCAATAGCTGCAAATCTTTCTGCAACTCAGGGGTGATGGTTTGAGCTGGCATATTGAACCTGGTATAGATGTAAATATAATAAGATAATTCCATTTTATACTCCAACTAGAAACCATAAGAAAAGATAACTGCATAAAATGAACATGAATATATAGATATTTGATTAAAAAAAGGTTACTACCACTGCATTCAGCTAAGCTGTGTAAAAATGAATAGATAAACAACCAAAGAAAAAGAAGAAAAAAATCAAACGTGCTTGCATTAAGAAATGCAAACTTGCTTAAGACAATAATCTATTGCTGCATTGCATACCATTTTTCCCCAGCAGTATCTTTAACTTGCTTTCTCAGTAACTTATTCAATTTTCTGGGATCGTTTGGAGGGACCAAAAGGCCATCAACCAGCTCTGAACTAGATTTCCAAACAGTGCTGGTTGATGCCTCAATTTGAGGTTTGGAATGAGACCCATAAGTGACCTTTAATGATGGAATAGGAAGCTGTGGTTGCCATGATAACCCAATCACTGGTTTGCTCTCGGGCATTTCTGAGTCGAAGTGAAATGCACAATGAGATTCAAAAGTTATATTTAATCATACTCAAAAATTTAAAAATATAATTATTAATTTATATAATAATTCCTTTTAAAATTTTATATAAGGTCCTTTTATAATAATTGTTTCTGCGATTATTTTATTTTCCTTCCTCGATTATATTTTAAAAATAAAAATTTAGAACTAAATTATAAAAAAATATTTTCAAACAAAAAGGAAAAACTATAACATAAAACTAAAAAAGACCGAAAAGCATCTCCTCTGTCATTTTTCCATTATTAGTTTCATTAAGAAGCACACAAATGAGAAATGCTCACAAATAATATTCAGATCCAACTCATTTACAACCTTCAATCTTAACAAACTTCCATGTATCCATAAGCTCATTGTAGATGACAACAGACAAGTTTGAATCTCATTTGTATAACCAGTCTATGCATAACATGTAAAGTATAAACTAATTGGTTACTCTCCCTTGCAATGGAATCCCTCACCCATTTCTCATCAACACCCAAGGGAGCCTCTATATCAAACCAACTCCAAACCATCTTTTTCACCCTAAATCCAAAAGGCTAATGTTACAATTGTCCATCCTAGTAAACATAGTACCAACTGATAAACAGTTGCTCCCTTCCAACACTGAAGCTTATCAGCAAACCCAATAGAGACAGCCTTAAAGAGGTGGGTGTTCACCTAACAGTTGCTCCCCGTATGGAAAATAAACAACACAATCCCACCAACACCCCTCCATAGCTGTTAGCTGATTCCAATGACTATGTTGTCAAAGCCAGCCCAACCGACATCATTAATTCTCTGGTAATCATTAAGAGGTGGGTGTTCACCTAACATCCAACCATACACACGAACCATGCTACCATGAGCAACACAACAACCACCATCACACTCACAGTAAGCCCACATGGCTGTTCCATCACCCAATGCCTGACTGGCAAAGCACTATTATCAAACAATGACCAAGGTTATTAGTAAGGTTATACGGCAGATGGCGGCAAGGACCTTTAAGTGCCATATTGCCATGGCGACGGTCTATGGCAGACATCATGGCGGACAAAAAAAATAAAAAAAAATATATATAATATGATGCAAAAACAGAAAAATAACATACATATATTAAAACCAACAATATAACAATCTAAAATTCATGGCATTCATAATCTAGTGATAGTCATCATAAAGAAACATAAATTCCTAACTAACATAAAGATTAAATGGCAGCGGCGATGGTAGAACTCAAAGGAGAAGGCGTGCGGATCCCCATTACGCCATGTTCGCCATTTACGCCATGCCTAAACGCCGTAATGGCCGCCATCTTCAAAATGGAGGATCCCCGCCATACACAGCCCAAACGGCTATAACGGAATGCGGCCGCCGCCGCCGTACTGTTATGGTGCCGTTATGGCGGGGCCATCGCTATTTAACAACACTGAAACCAATTCTGTTTTGAGACATGTTTGGATAAACTTTTGCAGAAATACTTTTAGGAGGAAAAAAATGAAATAAATTTCTTCATATACTAAAATTAGCTTACACATAAGTTAAAATAAGTTTTTGGAGAGACCAATATGAGAGAACTTTTACGAATTAATTTATGCATAAGCTAATTATATCTTATGGAGAAACTTATTTCTTTCTTTTCTATTTTTTTTAAAAGTGTTGATGAAAAAGCTTATCCAAACATGTTCTTGAATCATATTTCTAATTCATGTCCTTGAGGCTAGCTTCTAATGAGGTTGCATCTAAGGTAAGGTTGGCTAAGAGTAAAGGTGTGTTTGCGAAAACGTTGAGAGTCTGTTCAATGTCAATCCATGAAATATTTTCAGTCATGTTTGATTCATTGGAAAGTGTGTAAAGAATGTGCAAATGCCTATACAAATACACTAAGACGGCTTTCCAGCACAATGTCATCATTGTGCTTGGTGGAATAATTATTTTGCCTTCATCTTGATAAAATGAAACATCTTATTAACTAGGAGAGGTGTCATGAATCATGATCATTTTTTACGCTACTAGTGTGGTTGCAGTTGCAGTTTCGTTGCTTTTATTGATATTGCGAGATATTGTGGATAAATACAACCACAATTGGAGTTGTGTTGAAGTCACAAATGCTCAAAAACGTTGATGTTGCAGTTGAAATTACGGTCATGTACCATTTTTTGAAATTCACCTGTTTGGCCCCATTCATCACCTGGATGTGACCATTTTTTTTTCTAATGACTCTTAGTTGTGATTTTCACGAAATGAATGTGTTGTTGGATATAAAACCATTTGTGTGCCTTCACTTAATTACTTAAGCTTTCGGGATACTTAGTTTATGACATGGTTTTAGAGTCCTTTTAATTGTGTTGTGACTCTTTCTAAGTGACAGTTAAATTTTTAGCAAAAGGTAACATAGCCCTGCGCATTGTTCAGGCTTCAAGTCCAAAGGCTTTTGCATGTGAGGGTATGTTGGACAGAAAGCCAGTTAAGTGCCATCACCCAACAGATTAAACATTTGGAATAGTTGGTTCATGACAATTGTAACTGCATTACAACTTGTCTTCGAACTAATTAGGTGGAGGCTGAAAAAATGGTTTTATATCTCTAACTTGTGAATTCTTATATTTTATTTGAATAAGAATCATCTCGATCAATATTCAAGAACATTGAGAACCATTTGAATATGTGCAAATGGCAATTCTGTTCATGAAACTACCTGACTCTTTAGATCATTATTCTATTCAGTTGTCCTTAGTTTATATACTCCATATACTTATTTAGTTGCTTTTTTCAGGGAATGCAAATTATGCAATTAATTATGTAACCATATATGGCAGGGAAAAGTTATCCTTCCTTAAATATATGCATATGGTATTGGGAACTGGACTGATAAATCCAGCCAGTACAGAGACTCCTTAGATCAATTTTTTGTTGGGATTATCAATAATAGAAGGCCATGCATTCATAGCACAGAAATCCTTTCATATGAGCTTGCATCTTATTTACCTCTGCTATTAAATTAAGGTTATGCAAGGACGTTTTAAGAGAGAGGGTCTATGGAATTTTCAATTAGCTCCCATCAAGTGTATAAGCTAATCTACAAACAGCTGTCTAAGCACCTCTTGTGCATAGACTTTTCCAATGCCCAAGAGCTTTTCTTATCTTGTATAGGCTAGGTTCTCAGTGGACTTCCCTTGTCTAGCAAAAAGGAAGAAAAAGATTTAAACCAGACCACAAGATTTAACATATATTATTTGAGGTTGTGGAAAAGTTTTCTATGATCAATGTTGTGGCAATTAAAAAAATGTCTAGGCTTTATGATGTATTAACCAAGAAATATCCGAGTGGATGGTAACATTTAGGTTTAATGCCTATCATACGAATATATGCTTTGAACTTTGGAGGACCTGTGTGAACTTGATTGACTATTTATCCCATTTAACTTCTTATTTAAACTGAATATTGTTAATATATTCGAGAACTTCCTATAGTTTGTAGCATTTCCAGCTCGTCAAACTATTCATATGATCTTTGGTTAGTATGTTCAAATTCATTCTGTTTCCATTTCTTGCTCACACGATGAATAAATAGCATGCCAAGAGTTTTTCATCTCTACCATATATCAAATTTCCTTCCATCATCGAATGCTCTTCCTAATAACTATATAAGAGTATTTACATCTAAATTTATTTCCTTCTATTTAGGTTGCAGGAGCTGCCATCATCTTTGAGGTGCAAAGAAGTTCAAGATCAGAAGCTAGAAAGGATGAACTACGTAAACAGGAGATACAGGTTGTCTTTCTGCCTTTCTCTGTTGTGGGGATAAATTATGGAGGGATTTCATTAAAGCATAGTTGGTCTTCTTGAAGTCCACTTATTTTCTCTAAATACTATGAATGTTGGAGGTTTCAAATTTATGTCTTTTTCCCCTCTTCTGGGCTTAAGTTTTACTTACATAATTATTTTGGGGGGACCAAAACTATTCTAAATTTCAAGGATGTACTCACTTTTTTTTGTTAATTTGCAGGCAATAAGTATGAGGAATGAAGAGTTGGCCAGAGAAAGAACTTCTTGCGCTGAAGATCGAAGAGTTGGAACAACATGCTAGAGGACGGGGACTACTTGGCACTCTTAACATTAGACACACTCAAGCCTCTGTAGATAGAAAATCCAATTGATTGTTGCAATTGTTAAGCATTGCTCACAGATTTTCATGAGCAAACTTTATCCCTTGGTTTGGCATTAAGCCTTATGGCGGTAAAAGAGCTAAAACCAAATTTTTAGATGTGGTGAGGGGCTTTAAGGATTAGTCTTACATCCAACCTAAGATATAAAACAAAATTGTAAAACACATTCATGGCTGTGTTCTTTTCGAAAATTTCTGTTTCAAGGACAAATTCAGTCTGCTAACTCAGTTTCAAGTGACAAATTCAGCCTGCTAACTACAGTTTCAAGCCTTTGGAAAATCTACATTTGTTTCTAGAGCTGTCAAAACGGGGTAACCCGGCCCAGCCCACCACGGGTTGAACATTTGGTGGGCCAACCCAACCCGGCTCATTTATTAGTAAGCTCAAAAAAATTGAACCCGGCCCGGCCCACAATCATGGGTTGGAAGGTTACGCAGGTTGACTCACCTAATTTAAAAAAAAAAAAAAAAAAAGTCCTTAGAAGATAAAAAAAAAAAACATAAAAAAGGAAAATTCTTCCATCCTAAAAATGTTCTTTCCGATAACACTGCCATGCAGTAAACAAAAACAGAAAAAAAAATATTATTGCTAGATTCTAAATTCTAAACTAGCAAATTATAAGAATGGTCGGTGCATGCCTTAGAAGATATTGACAGGTGCGAAAAGCCTCAGGTTGGCAGCAGTGGGAACATGTCCATAGGCTAATAAAATAGGTAGTATTCCTAATCCCAAAGCAAAAACAAAACGACGAACAGAGAAAAATGAAACATTTTAAGAACGAACCTGGAAGTAGCAACTTCTCGCGATGGGCTCAGATTCGTGCGGCGGCTCGCGGTGCGCACGTGGCTCGCGGTGGCTCACGATGCGTGTGGCAGCTCGAGGTGGCTCGCGACTCGCTATGCGCGGTGGCTCGCGGCTTGCGGTGTGGTGGCAGCTATGGTGGCTGGTGCGGTGTGGTGGCAGCAGCTATGGTGGCTGTGCGGTGCGGACTGCAGACTGAGGGTGTAAGACTGAGAGTGCAGCTATTGGTTTTCTGAAGTTCAAAGAAAAATTGGACAATGAAACCCTAATTTGGCCCGATAAGTATACTTTTTTTTTTATTATTATTTATTACGAGTTTATGGCTAAACCCGGCTCAGCCGGGTTATTAACGAGTTGGGTTTAAAATTATTTTATACCAAAATTTTTAAATTTTTTTTTGTCTAATCCGGCTCAAATTTATAGTGGGTCAAATTAATTTACCAACTGAGTCTATTTTTGACAACTCTATTTATTCTCCAAAAGTTGTTTTCTTTTCTGTCAATCACTTGCTACTGTTCATATGGCTGTCTATTAATAACTCAAATATATTTGTAGTTTGTAACAAGAGGGACAGCGATCCCCTCTTTAATATAAGTAATTCTTCAAACCAACTTTCTGGTTTTAAGTTAAAATTTATTAAAAATTATAAAATGAGAAATATATAAAAAAAAATGATGTTGTCCATGTAATTAAATTTAAACTAGATTATACTTTAAATTTTTTTTATTTATTTTTAAGATTTAATTTGGTTTTATTATTTATATATAATTCAATTTAATTATTTAATTTTTAAGAAATATTAAATATTATCTTTTCGTACAAATTAATATTAATAACATTAATAAGTTGAAATGGACAATATTGAATATCATTTAAAAATTATAATGATAAATTAAATTAATTAAAAATAGTGAGATCAAATTAAATATTTTATAAATAAAAAAATTAAATTGATCAAATTTGTCTAATATTTTCTTGTCTAGATAAATTTGAATTTTCTTTTATCTATTTAGTAATTTAATTTATTATTCTACCAAAAAAAAGTAATTTAATTTATTAGATAACTCTTTCATTTAGTGAATTTTTTTTAATTCCTAGTACTCAATTTATTATCATTCATGATCTTGTTAAGGTAAATAAAAGAAAATTCAAATTTATTTAGACAAAAAATATTAGATAAATTTTTATTTAATTTGGTCCTATTACTTTTAAAATTTTTGATTTGATCTTGTTTATAAATTGTTCAATTTGGTTCTCTATTTTTTTTTATATAAAAATGTTCAATGTTATTATTGTTTTTAATTTCATTAATGTTTTTAGTGTTATTTTGAATGAAAGGACGATATTGAGTATATTTTAAAAATTAAAGAGTAAATTGAACCTTTTAAAAATAAGACTAAATTAGATTTTTAAAATAAATAAAAAAATTAAAAATATAATTTAACTTTAAATTTAACTTTTTAATTAATTAAATAAACTTTAAAACATAATTTAAATAAAATAATTTAAGGAAATATACATGATATTTATTGCATACATAATGTATATATGCTTTTTATTTAAGGAGGTGGTGTAACTTTTTTTTTTTTTGATGGGTGAACTCTTATAAAGGCAAAACGATATTTTCAATTACAATTCTATATTCAAGACGGAATATTTAAAGAATACAAGTATCTTCTACTTAATAACTTTGGTTGCAACTTGCGTCCAAAGATTTGATAGTTTGCGTTTCACAAGATTCCAAAATTTACACTTAGTAGTAAGTATTAGATTTTGCTACATTCTTTAACAATGTAAGTGTTGATATATTTGTTGTGGAGAGTCATTTTATATGATGAGAACGCCCATAAAACACTCTCAAATCCCTAAGCTTGACTAGTAACTATTTTTGGTTCACATATATCAATGTAGGTTATATTAATTATTTTATATTTAATAAAAAATGTATTAAAGAAACCATTGTAAAAACTAATTATGTTAAACAAATTTAGTCTTGTATGTTAAACACTAAGATCAAAAAATTTGTGGTAAATTAACTTGATCAGTGACATCTCATATTGATAGGTTAAGTCTCCAACCAAGTGTTACAAACTTAATTATAATGAGATGGTACGTATAAACAAATCATACATACTCTTGTGAGAGTATTGATTGAGACCATCTTAACAAATAAATTTGTTTTTGTTTATTCTTGTAAGCTAGAGTTGTTCAAGCTAAATCATGAGTAATTTATTATGGTCTTTGAATAAAAAAAAAAACACTATCAATTTCTATGTATTAAATATAAATTTTTATTTTGTGCAAAAATATTTTTAAGAATTTTTCTTTAACAAGAGAATTTGTAAGATATTTTCTTATTTTTTTTAATCTAATTCTATTTTTATTTATCATAGATATTTATAAATTTAATATTAATATTTTTAAAATAAATTATTAATAAATAAAAATAATTTTTTATTACAATATAAATTATTTATTATAAATTTAAAATATAAAAATATTTATATATACTAATTTTAAATATAATTTATATATTTAAATATAATATTTATTTATATATAATTTATTATTAATTTTAATTATATATAATAAACATGTCTATATATTGCATAAAATAAAATACTAATTATGAAGATTTTAATAGAGTCAAATAAAGTTCCTAAATGAAGGTTACAATCAGCATTAACTATAGTTTTCTATTACTGATTTTGTGGTCCATGTATTTTTTTTATACTAATTTTAAGGTCCATTTAGTTAGGAATGATCATAATGTTGATTGTATTCATTGATAGGTTGATTGACAGGTTCATGTTTTTAATCCTCATATTGCTTACTTATTTTAATTATTCACATATAGCTTCCGTTTGTTTTGGTACATTATCGCTTTAATATTAATATATTATGATATTTATATTTTAATAATTAATATTTATTAAATTTTTCTTTCAAATTTAATTTTATTGCTTAATATATTTATTTAATTCTAATTATTTATTAAAAATCTTAAAAAACATAATATGCAGATTATAAAAATTTAAAAACTAGTGTATTAAAACAGGCATTTTAATAATCAAGTCGTGTTTATACACCATTTCCCTATTTTAAAAACCATTAAATATAAACCGTAAAAGCATAAATCATTTAGAATTTTAAATAATAAATAATAATATTGTCTGTTTGTATTTTAAAAAAATTTAATTAAATGATGTTGTGAATATCATTTAAATATATATTTAATCATTTAAGATAAATTTATTTTTAATTTTTAAAATTTTAAATTAATATTTTTAATTTCAGTAATTTTTAGAATTTTTTCTAATTTTTATATTTAAATTTTATTAGAAAATTTATCAAATATTATTACATAAAATAAAAATATCACATTAAACTCAACTAATTTATATTTATACTAATATATAAAGGGGATACCCTTTTCGGTAACCACCTTTTGATTTCTATTTTTTTTTACCATTATATCCTTTTATTTTAAAAAATTAGAAAAAAATATTTTTTAATCAAATTTAAAAATTTGAAACTAATGAATCTATACTAATATTAATATATAAAGGGATACCACTTTCAATGATTACTTTTGATTTTCATTTTTACATGAATTATTTTATCATTTATTTATTTTTCAATAATTACTCTTTTTATGAGTAACTTATCATTTTTTTCTTTTCATTTATTTTTTTTCTTTTAATATAATGCAGGCACGAAGTACCTTTTTCCTGCTAATTAATATATAAAGGAGATACCATTTTTAATAATCACCTTGGTCTCCATATTTTGTTGACCATATATCCTTCTATCTTAAAAAATTATAAAAAAAATAATATTTTTTTTATCAAATTTAAGAACTTGAAATTAATGGATTAATCATAACATTAATTAGACTAACATTTTTATTAGTTTATTTTTATTTTATTTTTAATAAAGACACAAAATACTTCAATATCTTACTAGCATTATATAATTGTCTTAATATATAATTACTAAAATAAATTTTTTAATAATTATAAGATTAAAATAATAATCTTAAATTTTAAAAATTAAAAATAATTTTATTTTGAGAGATTAAATTTGTAAATTTATATACAATTTTATCTCTTGTATTTTTGGAAAATTTTATAAACTTACTTGTTTTAAAAATTTTGAGAAAAAAATTGTTCCGTTTAGAAATAAAAATGAAAATAAACCTTCGACGTGCCAACATTATTGCGTCTGATTTAAGTCTCCAACCCATATGATTGCTACAGTCGCTATCCAAGTACTAACTTCCACTTGTTTCACTATTAGAATCTTGGCTAGCATAGAAAAGATGTTGCTCACCATCTTTCTCTTTAGCAAAGTTTGCTTGATGCTTATTTTTGTTGTAACAATACTTCTCCACTTGTCCAACTTTGTTGCAGTGGCGACATTGTGGCTTTCCACGATATCGACACTTTTTCTCGGCATGATTTGTCCTCTTGCGAATGCCGCATGGAGGATATTCATTCCGATAATTTCTAGAGAAATTTCTAGAATTTTCTTTATTTCTAGAAGTTTATCCATTATTCCTTTTATATTTATTTTGAGACCGTAATTTGAGCTTTGATTGAAAGACATTTTCAGTTGAAATCCTCATCATACCTATTCAACCTTTGCTCATAAACTTCAAGTGACCCCATCAACTCTGTTACTAATAAGGTAGATAGATCTTTTGTTTGCTTAATCGTTGTCACGATTGAATCATATTTATGAGGAACACTAATTAGAATTTTCTCCACAATTTTCTTGTCAAGAATATTTTTCCCATACATTCTCATTTGATTAACTATTTCTTTTATCTTAGAATAGTAGTCCTTTACGGTCTCAGATTCCTTCATATTTAACAATTCAAAGTTACGCTGTAGAATTTGTAATTTTACAGCATGTACCTTTTCACTTCCTTCGAACTCCTCTTGCAACATAGTATATGCTTCTTTGGCTGTTGTTGCACCCATTATTCTCGGAAAAATTGTGTCAGTCACAGCTTGTTGCAAAATAAATAGCAACTTTGAATTCTTTTGTTTGTTCTCTTTCAACTCCTTTTTTTGTGCCGCAATAAGGGATGAGGTGTCTTTTGGAGTAGAAAATCGTTCTTCTATCTTGTCCCTTAAATCTTGGAAGGTGAAATATGTCTTCATTTTTGTATTCCAAAAATCATAATTTTCACCATTAAAAATGGGAATAGGGATAGATGATGGTTGAATGGTGTTAGCCATGGATTAGAATTTGTCTTTTTT